ATAATTTCGCTATTTCCAGAATGGAATCTGCTTGATCGAAACATATTATTCCTTGAAAATTAAAATGAGGAAAAAATTAACTTTTATTGTTTATCTAAGCTTATTCCATTTATAGCGGTATTAAGGTTAAGGATATGCGATGGAAGCCCCGTTTACTATTATACTATAAATGCATTAAATCATGTATCTTGAATAATTCATTTCAAGCAAATTATTTAATAATTTTAAGCAAATAAAGGTGTAAAAATAAACTCGATCGAAATATTCCGAAAGTATACCCTAAAATATATGTAGAATAAACTTTGAAATCGATATATAGAAAATACCTTTTCAAACAACTTCGAGTAGGAGAGGAACGCTAACTTGTTTTAAATAGTTGTCCTTGTAACTATTTCATTTCGATTCCTGGTGCTGGGGGACATTCCATTTTCACATTCGACTTTTGAAATTTCAATTGTAAACGGAAATTTTTAAGGTCCTTAAATTAAAATGTTAAGGCTTGCAACAAAAAAAAATAGTACTGCATTGATTTTTTTTACAAAGCAGTGAATTATTAATTTTTTCAATCTAAGAACCTGTGCCTCTAACTTATGTAAAACTTATTTTAATATCGAGTTAAATAATTTAATATGTTGTGTAACTAAATGGATAATCCGAAGAAACTGAATCGAAAATATAAAAACTTCATTGATTTAAAAAAATAATTGATAATAATAAAAATAGACATGTTTTGAGCGTGCAATAATAAAAGTCACAAGTTATTCAAGCCTGACAAGTCTTGAGAATGGGCGATTATATTTGAACGCTCGAAACTTGTCGACTTTTACTACCCTCTTCATATGTTTTGAAGCCAGTAGACTTTTTATCGTCAATTATACTGTTTTGAAGTTGGGTCTTGATCATTATTTTGATAAGGATTTTACACTCGTTAAAGTAAACATATGCATATTTTAAGTATAATATTTATAAATATAAGTATAATATTTTAACAGGATTCATGTGGTCTTTAAAAACGTAAGAGCATCAATATTGTAAAAGTTATATTTAACTTAAAAATTAAAATTTCGAGACCGGATATTTTCAGTTAATGAAATTAAATATTTTATCTTTTAAGTTTTTGTGCCCCTTTTTCAGTATCTTAAGTATCTTACAAGCTCTGTTTAGAAAGAGAGTATCAGATATACATAAGGAAACAAAAATAATCATAGGAACAGTATTTGGTGGTAAATGTAGCTTATCGTAATTGAAGAATATGCTGTGCGACACTTAATGGTGAATTTGCGAACGTAAGTTTCAGAATGTATCGAAACATGAGGATGCTATTTTCTAATCATCTTTATCCAAAGAAAACCATGTAACCTAAATATCTAGTAGAATGAAGTGATTTTTTAAACAATTAATCATACAATATGCAACATATTATTTCAATATCTTATTCTTAAACATAACATATTTCAATGTTTTTAAAATGCCACTAAACAATTCAGCATTCCTTGAGTTAAGGAAAAAAGAAATATCGTAGATTATAGAAAACTCTGTGAATGTGCATTAGACTTACTATACAATCTACATTTTATTTTTCAAGCACTTTGTTTCCCTTCAAATTTTCTTGCCTAGAAGACTCGATTAAAGCTGTAAAAATGATAATCCCTAAAATTTTGTATATAGCTATAATAAGTTATATTAATTTGATTTTAGCATGAAATCCTCGAATAAATATAGCAAAAACAACATAATCTAAATAATATCAGAAAAAAAGTTCATGTGTTTAAATTCTAAAAAGTCAGAACATAATAAATAATTTATAAATCGATTCAAATTTTCTTCTCAAAGGGGATTGAAATAACTTTTTTTTTTGCTCTTTGGACAGAAATCAGCTTAAAAATTGTCTATTGCCTAGAAACTTCGAGATATTTTCTATTAACAATTAATTAAATCTCTCCAAGAAATCACAGAACTTAAGTTCAATTTTTTTACGGTCAGATTTTGGTTCCCTAGCAACCTAGTAAAATTAAGCATTCCTCTTTTGAATTAGTCAATGGGTTATCCTAAAATATTCATTTACGTAGGCTACTTTTTTTGGCGGTTTTCTGGACTATCGCCAAATATATAAACCTTTATTGCTACCCAATTTACCACCCAATTTTTTTAAAATTTTGTCTACCCTCCCTAATTCAAGTGTCTAGATTCAAAATATGTATAACAAAAATATATGTTTATTCAGAGAAAGTACGTTTTTGTGTCTGATTTCGTAACTTAATTAATAGTTAGTACTAATTAATTAGCATATTTGAGGTCACCCCCAGAAACCATTAAGATTGATACTTAGTTCGTGAAAATCCGATGATTAGAGCGAAAGTTATTCAGGGTGATATCTTTTTTTTTTTTTTGCGGACTGTACCTCTCCTCCCAGATGCTTGAAGTGTGCGGAAAGTCACCACCTCTTCGAGTGCCAAAAGAACAGAGAAACGCCTCCGAAGTGCTGCAACTTCGGTAAAACACATACTGCAATTTTCTCCGGGTGCAAGGCCCGCCCCAGTAGAAAGTCTACACGCCCTTCCAGGGCTCCTACAACGATATCCTCAGCTTATCGTCTTGTTTCTATAGTGGAAGAACTCCAAGAACTATTGCAGAACGAAGAAGTTGTTGCTCTTCTTCAATCCATCCTACAGGGAAAGACTACAGTGGTGTAGTGGTTAACACGCTCGCTTTATGTCTCCTTGATCCTTGGTTCGATCCCAACTGAACCCTCTTTTCCCCTGAAGACTCTCAATACATAGCGAAATTAAACATGTGCCAGATGAATCTAGGAATTTAATAAGTATCAATTTCTGTAATATACTAATTATGTCAACTCATGTATAAACACTACAAATTATGTTTACATCTACGTCAACATGCGTTACTTGATTCAATATTCAGATGTTATTTACTATTTTTATCTACTACTCATATGTTATATTTAAGATAATTATGTCAACTCATGTTTAAACACTACAAATTATGTTTACATCTACGTCAACATGTGTTATTTGATTCATTACTCAGATGTTATTTTACTATTTTTATCTACTACTCATATGTTATGTTTATTAATTGTTTTAAAAATATTATCATCGTTATAATAATTTCAACTTTTAATTTATCAAGCAGAGTGCTTGACCTATTTGTATAGCTACCATAATGTTGCTAAACTCAAAATTTTTGTAACTCAATGTATTTAAATTTCATGATGAATGGGATAGGGGTCGCTGCGTGGCCCAGATGCCCAGTTTTATTAAATAAATCAAGCAAGTATTCAGTGATCTCCGGGTATTATGAGGTAAGTTTGTGAAAACTGTTTCAAGATGTTAGTGGTTGCGTCCATTTGTTTGACTGTTAAAAGGACCAGGGGTGAAAGCGAGACGGAAAAGAGGAAAGGCTGGTAGTAAAACCATTTCAGTTATAGCTAGTTTTGGAGAGGAGTTAACTTATTCTTTTTTTAAATTTTTCAACAATATTTACTTTATCTTGGAAAAGAAGCAGTTTTATATATATGCCGGAATTATAAAAGAAATCTTGATAGTTACAGATATTTCATTTTTTTCGAAAAAAATGCTGGAATGAAATGTTTTACGTACCAGGTTTTTCTCTTTTCCGTCTTGCTATATAAGGGCTTTCACCCATGAAAAGGACTTCGAGTGGAAAGGGTTAAAATTGAATTCGGGTTCATGCGCACAACTGGTTCACTTTTTAAATAGTCTGCGCAGAGTACTTATAAAATACAGTGTGGAGCGGTAGGCTTTAGTATAGTGATATACTTCCGCTCTTTGCTGTTTAAAGAATAATGGTTGATAAACATTTAAAGAATAGTGGTTGATAAACATTTAAAAGTCATTGCATTTCTAGAGTGTTGTAACATTAGTGTTGCCAGACTGACTACACAGGACCGAAAAGGACTAAATTGATCAGTTGAGTATCCATTTTGGATTTTAAAAAAAAAGTTTTTCTTACCGGGTATAAAACTTTATCGCAATTTTTTTTTAGCTAATTTCAATTTTACTTACCTTTAGGATTAATAACTACTGAATTATATTACTACAGTTTTATTTTCATAACGGTTAATTTCTACGTGCTTATTCAATATTCAGATTAGACAAATTAAGTAAGTATGTTTTTAGTAACGAGGAGTTATAGAAAATACTTCATAATTATCACAGAAATAGAATTCAAGTAAAACGAATCGTTCTTAAATTTAACAAAGAAGGCCAACATTTCCCTGCAAACCTAAAAACACAGGTTGGCTGGCATAGGTTTGGATATATTTGATATTTGGTGCATGTGTGACGAAGAACAGTTCAAATTTTGACCAAAATATAAATTCGAGACGTTGGACTTAATGGAATAGTAAGCATAGTTTCAATATGGAATTCATCGTCGTGAAACAATCGTTCAGAACTCGTTATTTTGAATTTAACACGTTCACGCCGGGGTGACCCACCGGTGGGTCACGCTAAATTTTATCATCTTGGCAGCGCACCGGAGTAAAAACTGGTAACAATAAATTTAATTTTTTTAGTTTTTTTCCAGAAATAATAAAAATCCATCACTACCAATTGTTTTTAACGGATGCAATTTTTATATTCAATTGCTTCTTCGCCATGATAAATTTCCTTACAGTGAATTGTTATTGTTGAGAATAGATTATCTCCTCCCTAATATTATCTGATATTGAAATAGTTCTTCTACCAGTATTTTCTCTTTTCCCGTACCAGTATTTTCACTTTTCTCGGCGTGAACGTGTTAAGCCTTTCCAATGCAGTGTGTTAGTCTGGGAACACTCAATTCAAAATTGTCACAAACCACTAGAAATGTAAAACTATTCGGTTCTAGTAATATAACTCAAGCGAAGGGAGCTGAACCGAATTTAAATATTGTTAAAAATATTAACATAAGTAATTCATCGTCCATCCCCTATACAACAGTCTAATTATCATTTCTTTACGTAGAATTAATTATACCATTTATTAAGTTTTTGATTTCCGCTAGGCATTTCATCTTAACCTCATCAGTTTCTCCTAACTCATCTTCAGCTCTCTTCATCAGTTCTGGAGTCAATCCATCACAAAAATATTTCATGTAAACCATATTCTCAGTATATCTTCAGCAAGAAAAAAACTAAAAAAAGAAAAAATTAACATAAAATTTTTAATAAGGAATCTTAAAGAAATATTCTTTACAAAAAAAAATTTAATTTTTAAATTATGTTAATATCAATGAAGTTGAATAAAAAGAAATCGAAACTGACATTTTTTATAAAGAAGGACATTTCCCTTATAAAATATATATATTTATTCTCCTCAGTCCTAAAGTATTGATTAAGATACATAAATAAATTAGAAGGTTCTTCCTACCTGGAAAATTTAAAGAGCGATGGTGAACTTCTGCCATAACTGTTTGAAAATTCATAAAGTTACCTTCCAATTATTTTTATAAAATCATAGTTTTAAATTGTTTACCCCACGATAACAATAAATGAAAATGTTTTTAAGAGGTATGAATACTTCAAAGTATATATATTTGTCAGTATTTAGCTACCACTTTAAAAAAACTTAAGACCGTGCTTGGGGTATGCAGAAGTCTGGAGGCATTAAATACGCGTTCAAATAAAAGATTTTTACATTCACTTTCAAAAGAAGGGTTTTCACATTTACTTTCAAATGGTGAGTTTTTACAATCCATCTCAAAAGAAAGGTATTATACATTCAACTTAAAAGGTATTTTTACTTACTTACAAATGAAGGTTTTTTACGTTCACTTTCAAAGCAGGGTTTTTAGGTCCGCTAACAAAGGAAAGGTTCTTACGTTCACTTTCAGAGAAAGGGTTTTTACATTCACTTTCAAATGGTGAGGTTCCATCGCAAAGGGAAGGTATTCTACATTCAATTTAAAAGGTATTTTTACTTACTTACAAATGTTTAGTTTACTTACAAATGAAGATTTTTTACGTTGACTTTCAAAGCAGGGTTTTTAGGTCCGCTAACAAGGGAAAGGTTTTTACGTTCACTTTCAAATGAAAGGTTTCTACGTTCATAAAAGAAGGGTTTTTGAAGAGTGACTTAATATCCAAGAATATCCATAAGAATAAACGCTATTTATATGTAAAGTTATAAATATATAAATATTTATAAAAGGAATTCATAAAAATATGAAGGAAATATCTTTTTGCGTGAGCAATGAAGAGTTGTAAGTTGGTAAGAAATTAACGGTTAAAAGCGAAAAGTTCATATAAGCAAAAGGTCTGAGCTATATTTTTGATAAAAATTTGCTTATCAATTTACACATAATTAATAATAATTTAAAGATATATTTCAGTGATGCTTCATATTGATGCTTCATTAATGATGCTTTATAATTATTACAAGTGGAAGGTACAACGAAAATCGGTTAACTATCCTATTTTTTATTTTCTTACCCATTTTTATCTTTTTTTTAATTTATAAGTTGATGTTAGAATAAAGGTCTTAAATTTTATTTAAAGACTCAAATTTATAATTCGGAATAAAAGGAAATTCTATGCATTATTTTTTTAGGTGTAATTTCCAAATATCATTCATTGAGCTGCATATTAATTCAAATCGTAGCATTTAAAATCAAAGTCAAAAGTTCCCGTGTAGTAAATTTTTATACCTATTATTATTATAGTATTATTTTTATACCTTCATTTCAAAAAGATTATCACCATTCAACCAAAATAAGGATATGATATGAACGAAGGACCATAATGTAAAAAAATTAAAGTAAATTTGCCAAAAAGAAATTTTCTAATTATTATCTTAAACATACCAAATATTTTTTTACTAAAAATTGAATTTTCCTTAACTTGAAAAATAAACTAATTTAGATGAATACTTTTTTAATCATCATTTTTTTAATGTTGTTTTCGTTCTCAGTAGTCATGGAGGACAAGACCTAAAACCAATTATATCTATTGTTATACAACAAAATATGAAGAAAAATAAAATTAGAACTATTTTAAGTTTAAGAATGTCATTATGAGTATATATCACTTGGGAACACTTTTCTTTTGCTAAGGTTTCTAAACAGATCGTACATATTTTTTAATCGCTGATTTCAAATCTGCAATCATTTTCTCTCTATTAACTACGGCTTTAATGCAATTTAATTCTGAATTCCTATCCAGATTTTTTTTAAATTTTCCTCGAGTGACTACTAAGTGCCCCCAATTCTTTTCTAAGTAAAGAATGTATAGGAAAAAGGAAATAATACACTTCAATTTAGGATACAATACATTAAAATCACATTAATTTTCTCTTAAGATTTATTTATGAAGGAGCAGACAAGTCTTTATATAAGTATACAAACCTATGCGTTCCTTAAACACTAGTATATTCCAACAAGCAATAAACCAAACTAACAATATCATTTCGAAATAAATCTGTAGCTCTTCGATCAAAACTAATTTCAGATTTGAAATATATTTTAATACAGATTTGATGAGTGCAAGTGCTAAGATAAATACAGCCAAAGTTTACTTGCCCTATACTATTTTTCAAATCTATTTATCAGTTCATTTCATTGCAATTAACATATTAACACAATATGCTGACATAAAATTGTGATAGTATTTTTTATTAACGAAAAATTCTTTCTTCATCGACTTTAAAGAGAAATAACAATGAAAAATAAGAATCCAACCCGAGGCTTCATGGGCGAAGCGAATAAGGTGAGAAGAATCTCCCAGTTGCTTTAGTCCCTTATCCTCGAGGTTCTTTTGCAATTAGGAAGAAAAAAAACCACTATGAGTATTCCAAGAAAAAATCCACAGTTTGCACAATTACCAACACATAAACACCATAACTTTAAACATCCAAAGTGATCGGTAACTTGTAAAGCTGGAAATGCACCCTCAAGTACGAAGGTTTCAAAGGGTTGACAATTTATCCATTATTGTAGAAAGACTTATTTTTCTCACTCGACATCCTTACTTCATAAGATCATGGCTGAGATAATGTTAAAAGTAAAGAAAAAAGTGAGGGAATAATATATAAATCTTAACATTGTAAGATTTATACATCCATGCATAAATCTTAACATATTTATTGGAATGTTCTAAAATAAAAAAAGCTAATTCGGGCAGACAATAAAATCATTCTCTATTTGAACAATTAAAGGTCTCATTAACAAGGAAAATTATTTCTAATTTAATTCTAATTATTAAGTTACGCGATCTATCTGTCTTTACTTAGATAATTTTTTCTTCCAAGTATAAACGTTATTTTTTTTCAAATCGGAGAAATTCCTGATTAGTTCTTCCCTTCGCTACTCTCAACATGTTGTCAAAATATTCTTGGATAACACTATAATTGTTGCAAATTTTGTTATTATAATATTTTTGGTTTTTGTTAAAACTATTACCTTAAAGGGAAAAAGAAGGAGAAATAATTACAGGAGGAAGCGAAACGGGCAAAGTTCGATCACTCCTATCTTTATACAAAAAGTTTTATAATTGTTCTTATATATATATATATATATATATATATATATACAGAGAGAGGGAGAGAGAATATATAGATAAATAGATTGTGTTTTTCTTGTGGTTTTTTTCAAAAAACGATCAATTACGCCTCGTAGAAAACAGCGATCATCTTTTGATCAAGTATCCAAGTTCGACAGAGGAAGGATAGCGGCCTACCTGCAACACCGCAATGGTCGCATTCGAGTCTGGAGACACCTTGGGGAGAGGATGCTGAGCAGCTGCGTTATGCACCGCCACTCTGGTCCTGCACCGGGTATTATGGTATGGGGCGGTATTGGACATCATTCTCGCACTCCTCTAGTAAACATTGCCAGTACTTTAAATAGACATCGTTACATCTCCGAGGTACTGCAGTCAGTTGTCCTTCCTTGCTTTCAGAGCTTGCCCACAGTCATATTTCAACAGGATAATGCGCGAACACTCGTGGCACGCATTGTCCGAGGGTTCTTCGTCAATCGCCAGATTGAATTACTTCCCTGGCCAGCTCGCTCTCCGGATCTTTCACCGATAGAAAACATGTGGGGGCAGTGGTGATCTCCAACAATGGCAGCTACTCTGGCTACTGAATTTGGCAGGAGCCACACCTCACACAAGTCTATAAATTTAATAATTTAGTACTTGGTCAACATGTTATCTACAAAATAAATTTTGTTGTGATTTTTGTCTTTCTTGGGTGTTGCAATTTGGGTGACCAGCAGTGTATGTATTTATATATATAATATATATAAGTTCAAAATGAAGATAAAAAGAAGAAAAATTACAGACATATGAAAAAAGGGGTATATATATACATATATA